ATTGCCCCTAAAATGCAATCCACATTAATGGTTTACCCTTAAAGTTCGTATAATCGCTGTTGTATTCAAGCTCATAAATTCCTTTAGAGGCGGTGTGTACAACGATTCATAGTTTTCAACCAATAGAGATCGCACCCGCAAATCAATGTACCGGGCGTCTCAATAAAGGCGACTGGATACAGTCTATTAGAAAAACGGATCGTCTTAGATATTTGAAAAATTATTATTAAGTTAACGCAAATATTTATAATTCGTTCGAGTTTCTAATATTGCCACCAGGAACAATAGTTGTCATCTTGTTTTTCAAAACTTTTTTCTGCAAAACTTTATAAATTTAAAAAATAAATATGAAAAATAGATTAGGTTTCACTGTATCTTTGAAAAGAAAGTCAATCGATTGCTATGGCATATTTTGACATAATTGCAGAAAAAAATATGTTTGTCAAAAAATTAATTAAATGTTCTTTTAAGTCGATATAACCAAAAATCAGAGCAACAACCCCGTGAAACCCCGTCTTTATTCTAACCTAAATATATTAATAAGAATATTCAATTTGTAAATTAAAAGGCAAATTACTTATTTAGCATGCTAAGTCATATAAAATATAAATAAAATTCCGTTATTTATCTTTCTTATACAATATCTTCGAAGAGAAACCATACCTGGAAGTCGACATTATTACCACGTTATGAAATCCATCGCCTCACTCATAGCACGTTTGACAGCATAGAAAAAGTGCTTCTCAACGACTCATTTTTAATTAAAATGCGTTAAGAATTTTTAAGGAGACACCCTGTATAATAATTAAATAAGTTTAAGTTTACCTAAGTTTCTTTGAGGTTATCTACACCACTGGTTTTTCGTTTTGGATGAGCAGTTAGATGAACGACGGCAAAGTCTTTGTTCACTACGTCGATAAACTTTTGAAATGCGAGCGGATGCGCCTTCAATTTCCTAGCAATTTCTCGAAAAAATACACCTTTCTATCCTTGGACTCTCTCTCTCTCTCTCTCTCTCTCTCTCTCTCCATTTCCTCTAGTTTCAAAGTGCGACTAAAATTATTTCCCCATTTCGCATGGCTGTTTTTATTTTCTAAATTAACTAACAACCGGCGAATATTTCAAATAAATTATGCTCAATAATACTGTATGATCCGCATGGAATAGCAGGTATACCATTTACATAAATTTCTTTTCTTCTGGTTTTCAGACAGGGCCGCGAACAAAATAGCCTCACAGTAGATATTAAACAGTAATAGGGAAAGCAAGCACCCTTGCGACTGCCTCTGAATTTCTATCTCATCCGATATATGATTCTCCACCTGAACCACCTTATGACACGCTAATCCATCCCGATGTTTTGGTGTCATTTTGTCATAGTAGATAAAATACATGTATGCTTTGAACTAGCACGCTAAAGACCAATTCTGAAGCCAAATTACAGACAGCTTCTTCACATTTTTTGTATATCCTGTTCCTTTAGGAAAAGTTTTAGTATAGCACCTTTCGGCATTAGCTGTTTTTGGTAGCGTGCCAAAAGTGGACTCCTACCAGTTCTGTGGTATTCTTCCCGACGTGTATATGGTATTAAGCAATTCAGTGAGCACCCTGGAGACATTATCCTCTGCTCTGAGAATACCAACATAGATGTAGTCAGGGCCTGCAGCTTTACTGTACTTTGACTAACGTACAGCTTGTATGATTTGCTATTTTAAGATATTTGTACCAGTACCATGTTGTTCAGGTCTGTCATCCTTAAATAGATGCTTTATATAACGTTTCCATGTTTGCAGATTCTCCTTTATATCTGTTAAGACGGTGTTATTCTCTCCGATTAAATTGCCATTTGGAAGTTTTCTTTTATTTTTTTGGGTAGATTGAAAGAGTCATGCTTCCCTTGTAATTGCCGCCATTTGCGATTCTGCACATATTCATGGTAATTGGCTCTGCATCGATCGCGATTATGAATTTTATATATTATGTGAATTTAAAAGATCATAAATGCTGAGGTACCTGCGACATCCCTTGCTAAATCGAAAAATTCAACTAAATATCGCGAAAGGAAACACGAAGCTCAAAAGGCTTTTTCGGTTACTGAATCTCCCCGTTCCGCCACCGGTCGGCTCCCAACTTCAGTGCATACGACATACAATTTCGGGGAACAATCAATTCTAACTTATTGTTGACCGCCACTGCCGGAAAATACCAGCAAAGTCCCCAAAGTTCGGCGTTTGTTTTTAAAGAAGCAACTAGACCGGAACATACCCTAATAGGACAGTAAAGAATAAGGACATCGCAACGGGGATGAGATCATCCCCCACATGGAAACGGGATTTTCACTCACCACCCCTACTAGGGTACAGTGTAGCGCATAAATTTTGTTTATTTCGCCCGACGTTATTTTGCATTTCGATTTAGGATGTCGTCTCCGACGCGCTTGAATGTCAAACGAAGTGACGTTTCAGTTAGTGACATATGAAAAACGATGGGGTTACTATTGGCTGTTACCTTTGGAATACGTTGTTGCGCAAGGACACGAAATTTATCGCAAACTCGTTTCTCACTTGGCAACTTTATGACGGTGCTTTATATCGTTGCCCAAGTTTCGGTGCGGGTTCCAATTTTAATGCTCGTGTAATACATCAAATTGGTGGTGACGTCGCAGCGACTTTTTTCGTTGGTAACTGGCAACGTATCAGATACAAACATACCGATTTGCAATATGAGTATTTCATTCAAAATTAAAATATACCTAACCTATAAGTAATGTAACAGCAATAAACAACGGTGACCAAAAGATTAGCTGTTTTATTCAATGTTGGCTAACATGCTGCATATCGAAATGTCAATTGTCAAATGTATGTGTCGTTGCATTGAATTCCCTAAAGTTTCCAAGAAGACAGCTTTAGATGATTTTTTTTTCTCCGATTGCAATCCAAAGTTATGGAAAAAAAAGAACAAGAAAACGATTAAATAAACTAATAAAACTTTGCCCAAAAGAATTTTGAGCAACACTCTTTTTGAACTTTATTACAAAATTTAATGGAAGGACAAGGATATAACGCAAAATGCCGGTTCAAAAATACATAAATTGAATATCAGAACGACTCTCGGCGATATCGGATGTCATTCAAACTCGTCGCCGACCCAGATTGTAGTCGGCGAGCGTAATTTTGATAAATATGCGCTTGGAAGTTGTCCAATTCTGGCAATTAGCGTCGTCACAGTTATAAGCTGCAAGAGAATTAATCATAACCATTATATGAAACGGGTTGGTTAAGACCAAGTTTGAGGCAGCACAATATGCCTGACAGTGCAATTTATCATGCGCTTTGATTGGGGAATAAGAGGTGCACTTTAGAAAATTGGCTTTGCATGTGTCCAGCTATGGTACAAAAAGGAATAGAGTCTATAGAAAGTCAAATCCCGTAAGAACGAAACCCTGTTTATTGGCTGCTTGGCTTTTAAACATTATAATAGCAAAAATGACACTATATTTATAGATTTTGTTTGTTAATAAACGTGTCGATTTTTTTTTATTGACCAAAGATTATGGAAAAATAAATTTCAACCACTCATCAGACATTGCATTATCAATTGCACAAACAACTATTTCCTTTATCCAAAATAATAGTAAATATATTGCCAATTCGATGCGGACTTTTTGAAAGCCCCTTTATATCAGATAAGGTAGCGGAGTGATGGACTTCGCAAAACTACAAAACAACCAGTGACACTGCGATAAGGCATCTCGAATACAATAGACACAATGCAGGTCATTGTCTATCGATAACATCAAGATACTGATTGCTGACCAGCGTAACGTGCCGTAGTTTAGCTCGCAGCGTCAACTTTTTGGATAATACGCATAGCGATCAGATACGAAATATATCTAAAGTTAAGAAATATGTAATTAGCACTAGCAACGCTCAAGTGAGTGGTTGGAAATCTACTTGTACGAAATCGACTCGTGAACATATTGAATAATGATGATAAGGGGGCGATAAAATCTAAAAATATTAAGAAAGAAGAATCATTTTGTTGTGCGCCGAGTATTACCCGCCATCGACGACGATTTAACCAGGAGGCAGCGTGGCCGAGCGGTCTAAGGCGCTGGTTTTAGGCACCAGTCCGAAAGGGCGTGGGTTCGAATCCCACCGCTGTCAAAACTTTTTTTCGTTAAAATTTCATTCAATCAACTTTTACTAATTTCCCGCTCTGTATATATATATGTGTATCTATATTTTTCAAATTAAAATTCATCACAATATAACAAGCTCGTATTATAAAAATTCATCAAAAATTATTTTGTCATGATTGGAGGCATAATAACTCAAATGTAATATGATTAGCTAAAGATGTTTCATATATTTCATGTTTAATTTATTCCAAATTGCCTAAAAAAGTCTACATTTCTTTAGAAGAGTTCCAAATTCGGATGATATTCAAGATGAAATAATATAACAAATTATAATCAGTTTTCCACGTAAACAACTTTGAAACCTATAAACAAGAATACGTATATCTGAAGAAGAAAGAACCCATACAGGATAAGGGATATAGGTTTTAACTTTGGGCAGCTCGTTCACAATTAATGTTTCAAAAAAAAGATGAAGCAGGTTCACTAAAGATGATTACGCAAAAATATGAAATTAAAAAAAAATTAAAAAAATAAACAAAATCTTCCAGCACTGATGTTATTGTCAATATTCGATATGAATGTCAATAATACAATCATCTGGGATTTATGGTCAACAAACATTTCTTTTTAATAATAAAATTGGAGTTGATTATAATTATATTTTCTTTGAATATATTTTTTTCTTTCCTCGTCATCTTCATTAATCAATTCGAAACGTTTGTGTAAAATTTAATATTTGTATCGATCTTTTATGGAAATAATTTAAGAAAAATTTTTTGCATCAAATTGTGCAAAGATTTCATATTTTTGACTTAAGTAAAGCGATAAAAATATTCCATTAAGTCCATTCGATACTTACCCAAATTTCCATCTTCTAACCACCGACGGAAAACATAACGAAAAATACAATTTCGTAATCACAACTTTCGCTTCGAAAGCTTCCTCCAGAACTTCGCGAATAAAGGGCGTCTATTACGCGGAAATCGTCATTCACCGGCTACACAGCTTTCGCAAGAACTTAAGGGTGCGCGTGTAAAGCGCGAACTGTATACCGACGCTTTCCCCTCGACGGTGGACGCGACGCGTCGTTCCACCCCCTCGCCGCATGCCGCTCCCTGCCATTGTACCAAACTACCCTTTGCGACGGACCAAGAGAGGGCTCCGATAAAGAATCCCAATGAAAGCACTACGTGTGGATTACGGGAAATCGTATCATTTGAGTTTAATAGCTTTGGCCCCGTGTCGCATACTAATGAACCGGATTTTTTATTTCGGTGAAACGGGGGTTTCGTTATTTGCTTTAAAATAAAAATAAAAATAAAAAATATTACATGTTTCAAAATATTCGAATATTCTTGATTCCTTGGTCAGATTAAGTTCCATGACTTTAGGGGTTTATCAACTGGCGCGTATATATTCGTAAATTTCGTTGTTGTTGTGCCTGTGAAATCTTCTGTACATCATTCACTTACTTATGCCAACTCGTCATGACAAGTTACATCATTAAACAGCATGTTCAAATGATAAAATTTTAGCAGCAAAATGCGCGCATCGCACCAATTTTAGGGTAGACGTGGTGACTACTCGCAGTCACATAGTTGGGTGGCCCACTTTAAGACGACGAGTTCGCTCTACAAGATCCAACTGAGCCAGGAGCTCCAAGTTCATGACTATAGACAACGCTAACTGAACTTAAAATCGTTTGAAAGATGACCTCCCTTTTTGGATGAAAAGCTGTGTTAATAAGGAAAATTGAAAACGGAATATGATATGACACTAACCCACGTGACTTTAAAAGACATCCTCAAAAAGTAACCGCTTTGGTGTGGGTTTTGAGGTTGTGGCATCACTGGTCCGTACTTTTTCGGGAACTACGTAAATGAGACCGTCACCGTCAATTGTGAACGCTAAAGAAAGAAGCTAACCAAATTCTTATTGTGTATATTGAAAGATAATGGACTAAGAGAGCGCTACGTTCCACACAATGGACGCCATAATTAATAGTTTGCTCCAAGGATATGAGAGTAAGGTTATATATCTCTGGCAGTGGCGATGTGAATTGTGATTTCTCACACACAGCTGTTTTTAATTTCATTTCAACATCTAAATCTCTTTACTTAAAGTTTTATCTCAAAACAAAAGTAGAATGATGTAGTTTTGTATTTCTTCATTTAAAATAACTTGTGTCAAGCGTATACTTCAAAGAAATTAAAATTAAATCTCCAACAATGCCAGAAATAAATGGTGCAACATATAAGTCGAATGAAAGAAAAGAATATTCACAGCTACTTCTGCAATCAAGCCGTCAAATTATTTCAAAAATTTTATTTGGATATGCGGTATGCTCTCCTACACATGCAACTTCAATTTGAAGTTTGCAGAACATTAGACTGCAATCCTGCACTTTGAGAAGAATATCATTCAGAATTCCACACTTGTAATTTTTAAATCGCTACGGAAACAGCGAATTATACCGGTAATTTTTATAGAAACATGCGTCGCTATCGAAATCTGTTAACCAAATCAATTTTGATTGGTTAAAAACCGCTGGTGTGCAATATTCTTACTGCATACCATACGAGGTCAAATTAAATGCGGAAATTTTTTGATCGCTAGTGATATTACTAGTGAAAATTGTGTCAGTGTCAGGTATGACTGCCGGGAAGTAAAGGAAAATTTGTTCTTTACTGAAAATGTTATCCACGGTTGCCGGTGATTTCGAATTTAGGTCACAATAAAAAAAAGGTGACGGACAATTGTAGGCAACCAACAATACCGACGAACAATATTTTCAAATTTATTTCTCCTTTACAGGATAGCGTTTCTCTTTAAATTTAGATACTATACCCGTATTATCACCTTCTGTCATTGTAATTGTATATCAATAAAATCAAAATATTTAATTTTATAAAAATATGTTCTAAGAAATAGACACTTTTCATTTTTCTGGAATGAATTTTCGCAATTTTTGCAGGAATTTGAACGTCGTTGGCAAGTTTGTAAATCTTTGTATCGTGAAACAAACGAAAAATATTATCAACTGAGAAAATCCAATCCTGATCAATAGCAAACACTTTGTTTTACAATGGTCTCCCTATTGATTATGCTGTCGATATTTACTTTTATAATTAAAATTACGCTTTTTTTATTAGGGATTTTTTGTTGGCAATTAAAGTGGAATTCGGCGAATAAAATTTGGCATTCGGCATTTTAATTTATAGAAACAATGGAGATCGCTACAAACAAATCGGCTTTATTGACGTGTTTACGGGATAAACAGACAAAATAAAATTGCTGGCGCGAAAAGGCAAACGCTTCTTTTTGTTACGGTTGAAAACGAATGAATTAGTGCGATATAAAATTGCGGGTCACATGAAATAAAACCCAAAAAAATAATAGTCACACTTTATTAACCAAAAACAAAACGTAAACCATCTTATAAATGTAAATACTCTAAACATTTCGCATATGATAAGAACAGCAATTGAGTGTACCGAAAAGTCTAACATTGTTCTTATATGCACAATTTCGAATCTAAATATTCTTTGGAACTACTCATGTTGTATTTTTCCGTTAACATGGTAATCTCATATCAAAATACTTTACTTTGGGTAGACAATAAAATACGATATGAGAGAAATCATATTGAGCAAAAAATTCAGTAGTTGTGTAGTAACATGTAGCAATTATTATTAACACTCCCACGTAATCAGATTTGCAGACAGTAATAAGGGATATGTAATAGATATGACAAGAATCGATATTTGGTACGAGCTAGGTAAATAATTTTTTTAGTAACAGCGTGCTTCTAGTCTAAAGTACGATACAGTCGTGTTGTGATATTTAAGCAAAAAGCTTTATAAATATAGAGCGTACATACAGATATTCTCGACACTAAACTATTTGCACTTACTAGAACGTAAACGACTACGCTTGCGGTTTCAAAGTCTTCGCCAAAACGAAAAACTCATTACCCTGAAAATTGTTGCCACAAATTTCCGGTAATTGCGAATGTGTGTGTATGTGTGTGTGATCATAAGTTTTATTTAGAATATTGCTTTGGCAACTTCATAACAATATAAAAATGGAATATTAACTTTTGGCATACTAAAATATATAATTTCACACAAAACAATGCTGCTTTTTTTTATTCTTTTTTATGTTGTACAGACGAAATTCTCTTCACAGTAACCTATATAGTTTCTCTTATTTTAATAAAGACCCTGTATTCAAAAAGGCTATAAAATGATATTTTTTCATGATTGTGTGATTTCAATAATCAGAAGAGTTCAGGGCACCGAAATTTATTTATGTACAATAACTCTTTTAACCGTATCGGTGGTGGCGTTTGCAAAAATATGTTATAAATCAGTCATATGTATTTTGTAAATACAAAGTTCAAAATATTTTACACTTAATAATTGCATTAATATTATTACTTGGTCGATAATTTCATAAATTAACATTCAATTGGCTAAACTCCACTAGATCGAGAAGGTCAATCTTAATACACCAACGGTAGAGAGGTTAAAGAATTTTTTTTTGCTGACAATTAAAAAGGGATAAGTAGGACACCGATGAGATAATTACCATTAACCACTATCAGAAACCAATAGTCCGTATTTGTACTATACACTGGAAAGAGACATGTATACAATAAAGTACAACTCCTGTTATTTTATGAAATTAAAATTAACCAACAGTTTGCCGTTGCGGCTCCGTAAAGTACTGATAGCGCGTTTTAAATCGCTACAGACAAGCTAACCTCTGATTGCCTGGCACAACACGACATCTATGAGATAGCCGAACATTAAGGCCCCGTCTAAAAAACACTACTTACCACTAATGTCAAAGCTTTGTTAACGGATCACAATGGGGACCCTCAAAGAACTATGGTACGCAGATTTTTTGGCACATAGATCAGCGTTTTTTTTAAAATAACAATTCAATCGTTTTAAAAAAAAAAAAATAACACGAATTTTTACTATGTTCAGACATTACGTTGCTCCAAAAAGAATTGTGGAAAGTGGATCCAAAATGGAATATAAAACATTTACATCATACATCTTGATATGATATTAAATTGTTAATAAAGCGAAAAAATGAACGAAACTCATTGAAAAACATACCAATATTCCCCCAGCGTCCCGACTATATAACCATTAGTCAAAATGAACCTACGGTGATCAACTACCTACTTGAGGGATGTAAATATATCGCCAGTGGCGGTATGATGTTAATTACTCAAGGTATTGTTAGAATTTTAAGCAGACCACCCTTGACGGAGCGTTTTCAAATCCAAGAAGGGTAGTTTTGACTAGAAAAATATCAGATCCGTTTGCAAAGTGTGATTCCGTAACAAACTACGAGTATTTAACAACGTTCCTACCTAACCGGATTTGTACGAGATCACACTCTATTGTTTGGGATATCAAAATCCATATCTCCTTCACTTTTCACCTTCATTGCTAATACGAGATCCATCGGAAAACTACTCTACTACCGGTCATTACGTACCGCAAACTGGAGTTCCTGTAGACTTTTAAACAATTTTAGATAAGAATTTGAAAAGTTGTTTACTGGCCAATCCTTCCAATCGGAAAACAATTCTTAACCGATGAGGTGGTTAAACTGATCGCTGATTAATTTTTTTGTAAATCCCTTACGAGAAAACCGAGATAATTAGCGGCCAAGATAGCTCCGTAATTGTTCGTTTCAGTCGCGACAGTACTTTATCATAGAATCGATTGGATTTAAATTGTCTCTCTCCTTTATAACTCCTCTCGAGATTGTTTAAAAGTTGTGTGTCCATCAGAAACGAGTTTAGCGTTGATAAAACCAGGCCAGCACTTTTCCGATAACCCAACCATTATTTCCTTTGGCACTAAGAATAATAGTATTAACATAAACATCTAGTACTAAGGGAAAACGGATTGTCCCCAGTTATAGTCACGTGGATATATCTAATTACTTTAAAATACGATAAACTCTTACAGCCTAGCCTAAAGGTTTACCTCGGACGACAGTGCCATTTGTCCGGATGATTTTGTCTTTTTGGTCCACTAAGATAAATTAACAGAGAAAATGTCTTTTATCAATTCGACAGTGTTGTTCCGAAGTAAACCACCAAAGTGTTTGAGCTCAAAAATGACTAGACCTATTACCTCAGACGATAACGAACGTTTAGATTATATAATTATCTATTGCGTAAAATAAATAGTGTACACATTTAATAACCGTAGCTAGATTGAAACTAGATAAGTTGGAACTGTTCCAAAAAAATAATAAATAATTCATAACTGCAAAGGATAACATTTGCTCTGTACGCAAAAGCTGTACTTCCGAGCCGATATTTTTGTAAAATAAAAGCCGGAAGGCGTATGAAAAATAAATACTGCTAACAAAATCAACTGGTACGCCGCCTAAAAAGCGCATGGGGCTGGTTTATTTTCAATCTGCCCTCCGAATACACCAACGTGGTTTTTGTATCCACGTCATGGTAATTGAAAATAGACCGACCACTAGAAAAGCTACCATTATATAAGCAAATGGTAATTCAACAGTGCTCGTTTCACCTAGACGTGATCACAGCGTACTTACACTATTCACAAACAGGGATTTGCGTCATAACACCGATAAATAACATCGTTAATTACACAAAATTTAATGCGAAATCGAATAAAGATGAAGTGAAGTGAGCATTTTAGTTAAAAATGTGTCGATCGTTAGAAGGAAGAAAATTTGGCACCTAGTTTCATGCGGGGAAAAAATCACAATCATTAATCAACATGTAACAAAATACTTTAATCCACAGCCCGATATTTAAAAATGCAAAAATGCCTTGCATTTATATTTCACCTAATACTTTATTAGAATCACAAAACTGCCCAAATCACTCCAATTGTTTGCAATGTCGAACAATTAACGTATCTAATAATAATATATTATAAGTTACTAACCCAAACAAAGAACTGTATAACAGTTAAAATACCATTACTGTCCTGTCTCCTTGCGAAGAATTCATTACCTAGTGAATCGGTTTTCATTTATGGGATTTATCGAAAGAAAGAGATATTTTCTAGTTCTACAGAAGTTTGGCATTTGCAAAAAAAAACAATGGAAGAGAACAGGACAGAAACAAGATCCAATCAACACCTCACGAGACAAACGCAATTCAAAACAGGCCAATAAAATAAATAAACCTAAATACAATAAATAACTAACGGCAATTGTATGATTTCACTTTATCATCTATAATGTAACTAGTATGTAAATAGAATATACATATTTTAATTTTGTAAAATATCGAAAGAAAAATTCTTTGGTTTTGTTCCCAGAACCGTTTTCTTTTTCGACTCGACATATTGTCAGAAACATTTTTTTATTCGCGTTTTCTTTCGCTTTTTTTTTGGCAATTGCACAGATTTTTTTCCGGTAACGGTAGAAGTTGACACTAAAACATTTACCACTAGATCGAGTTATTGCTGCAACGCCTGGGCAAAATGAGCGAGAAGGCCTCAGTGTATCGGCGCCTTCACTATGTGATTTGGAGCGATGTAGTGATAACCCGGGAGACCTGGTAGCCCCGCAGTTTCCATGGATATCCTAAAGGAAAGAGTGAAAACGTTTTAGATATTATCAGGATTCATTTTATGCATAAAAGAAAGACGGGCAAAGTTTTGTGCAATCTCTAGAAATTTTTGCCAAACATTAATAGGACTGCACCAAAACAAAACCTCAATATTACAATAAGTTTTGAAAACAGTTGGTTTCTTGGAAGGTAAAAGAGTTAACAACTGGGTGGCGTGGTAATATTTTCAACGCGACATTTTTTGAGCATCGGCAATTTTTTGTTTTAATATCGAAATTTGGCAAACCGAATTGTAAAAAAAATTGCAGGAGCTCGAATGGTTATAAAGGGGAGAGAAAATGGATGGTAGAGCTTACCGGGAAAATGAGTCTTCTTGGCCTGGATTGGTTGGTTCAAAGGCATCATTCTGTTAGCTTAGGCTTAGGATGTGATTTTGATGGTAGACATTATTTGTGGTGGACACGCAACTTTCACTCAGTTTTTTTTTTTCAAACAATAGGCCAACTAATAGAGCCAATCGCGAAATTAAAATTAAAAAAAAAAAAAAAAAACGCTAACTAGTTACCGAAACATCTTGAGCGAAATAACAAATGCACAAGAATTTTGTAACACTGAAAAATTTAGTAATACCATTCGCATAACTTAAGACGTCGCAAATACCTGCAAATCGTAAAATAAATATAATAAAAAAACTCAAAATATTTAAGATACATAGAGTTGTATTAACTTTAAGCATTACACGTGAAATTAATCAAATACACTAATATGCAAAAAGACAGTTTAGCCTTATCCTTAATACTATCTTAACAATTATAAATGTACTTATTTTGTAAAAAAAAAGAAATATCCGTAGAACTAGATTGTACGTAAAATGTAAAAATCTGGTTCTCCTGATGATACGATGATATGTCACCCTGGTTATCAAGAAATGAGACATCCATTTGCCAACCAGAGAATTTCTAACATCGGAACTATGTAACGTTACATATAACTTTATTCCAAAACAGTTCCCAATGTGTAATTCGCAAAAGCGCAACGACAATGACTAAAAGAAAACATTTGCAAAACATTTTTCAAAATTTTGAATAAAAATGTTCATTTTTTTAAAAATAACTTTAAGTGATTGCTTTTATACATAAAACACCAATTTTATGTGTATGTAAAATCCACAATTCTAATCATCAGCTAAAGAACCCAAAATAAAAATTGTGTATAAAATAATTTAAGTATAAATATTTTTTCAATATATATCAGCAAAAGTGCAAATGTTAGTAAAGTGTATAATAAAATGAAAATTGAACACTCTGCACACAATAGCATCTATTTTGTACCCTGTCATTCAAAAGACGCTTTAAAAGAGTCAACTCGGAAAAAAAGGGGGAGGAAACTCTCATATTTAGTTCGCGATATTCCAAATACACTTACAACCAATTAATATATATGTGTAACAAAAATATGCAAAAATACATACTATGGAACTTTATCGACTTTATATTTTTACTGAGAAAAGCAATGTTGGAATTGCTTTGGGTCATTGAGTAAAATGTTTTTGAAAATGTTGATCGGGCTTTGTAGGTCAACGGATTAGAAAGTCCTAATATGAAAATTAACTTACTTTCACAACGAATCACAAATAGATGTTTCGAATAACGTGATGTGGGGTTCTAGTGTCAAAAATTGAAAAAGGGACCAGCAGTTCACGCCATTGTAGCACCTGGTCTTGCTAATCCGTTCTGTAGGTCAGTAGTGTCAAATTTCAGTGATATGTGATGCACGTTTCCGTTTTCCCGAAATTTGGTCGAATACTAATGACAAAATGTTATCCTAACCCCGCATTGAATATGTATAATAATAAATTAATTATGGTGCTTACGTGTACATTAACCAAGCATATTACAATGCTTTGAAATTACGCATGTCTTTTCGAAATATTCCTTAAAACCTAAATTGTATTGAAAGTATGTTTTTGTCTTAAAATACAAACCACTAACTAAACATTAAAGAAGTATTTGGTTTACATTTGCCGTTAGATTTAAAGGTATACTCCATAACTCTAAAGGCACTACCATTATTAAACCTTACACGTTCAGCCTTTACCATCGAATTCGATGCCCAATGACCTAACAGTTGTTTTACTACTAATAATTGAGCTTTATCCGAAAAGCCGTTAGTTCACTGTTCAAAGTCCATCCGTCCCTTAAAAGTATCAAGCGATTACTTCACCTATTATAACACGCTACAGTGGCCCCGTTACTTTGCGAAAAAATATAAAGTCGAGAGCTACAACTAAATAAGTGACGTCGGACGATAGCAGCACCTAGTATGGGTTAAACTTGTTTCTCTCGCTCTTCAGTTTGGAGCCCTCCGACGGCCCTCCGGATCCGCCCGGGGACCTCAGTCGGGGCGTGTAACTCTTGTGGGTGCGATGGACGCCGGTGGTCTGGACAGGAGGTACACCACCCTGACCACCCAACAGCTCCGAGAGGCCGCCCAACGCGCTGAGACTGGTCAGCGCGTTGAGCGCCCCCGGCTTGGTTAAGAGTTGGGCGAGCGGGATGGCACTGGCCAGGGGAGAGGCGGCGGTGGTGGATGACTGGCTGGAGCTGCCAGTAGTTGGGGAGTTTTGGGCCTCTAGGTTAGCTTTCTGCAGCTCAACACTGTGGGGAAATAATAAACAAGGGATTGTTGAAAATGTGAGAGAGCTAGCGGTAGTAGTTTTTGTGGTGCAGGGAAACGTTACGTAGAGGGAACGAAAATTTCTGTTTACTCTAAGGTTAAACAAAAAAATGCTTTGAAAGAAAAAAACAGTTCTTGTTGATCTTTATTAACGTTGCACTCGATGTCAGTGGCCTTCATCGATCGGCAGAATATTATTTTTCATTTAGCCTGCTAGTGTCTCCACCAATACGTAGATCATACTAAATTTGGTAGATCGCTACTACATATACCAAGGAAGCAACACCATTCATCTAAAAATGTTTTAGTATTGGAATATTTCAATTCCAGTGGAAACAATAGTCGAAAAGGAGTTTTACTATTTAGGAAACCGAACTGAAAATAGCTTCCTAGGAACACATTTTTGTAAATAAATTGATAGATACCATGCTTTAGCAGGACCCACCTATATTGCAGTAATATAGAAATAACCAACAACAGGTCTACAAAAGATTAGGAGCGCTTAATAAAATAAAATCAGGAGGCAGATTCAATTTTTATCCTATATAAAAAGAACTTCTCGTTATAGGAATAAATAAATGGGAAAAACATTGCCGGAAACAGGGAAACAAAAAAAAATTTCACCCAAAATATACAAAAATTATGAACATATTTTCCAGCAAAACATGTGGAAATTTAATAGAGAATCTTTCGCGATGCATTGTAGATCTGTAGCTGGACTGCGATGTTCGCCATGTTTTGATGCTGAAACTCCTATATACTACACTGTATAATATTACCGACTAAACGCTATGCTTTAGGCCAAACCCGGAAAAGAAAAAAGGAGCAAACTGACCAAAACTAGCTGCTCCGGACAAACTAGTCTTGGTTTGTTTCTACTCTTTTAGTCGTGGCTCCTCAATTGATTTGGCCGGTAACATATACAGAGTATCTCGCAATCACAAGTCACTATTTTAACCACACACAGATAAATGTTCTTATAATAAACTATGGTCCACTTTTTCCCTATTATAATATCGCCTTAAGAGCTGATAACGAGTTTTTTAAATAATTTGAGCTTGGGACACATTTAACCCGATTTGCGTTTTACTCAACACCTAAACAATTGGCACAAACTTTTCCCAACTTAATTCCTAAAACATTTACAAAAACCCGTCATCAAGACCGCACCTTCCCAAAACGAACAAGTTATGTGTCATAGTTTATATGATTTCTATTTATGTAGTGAAATATGTGGCGAAAATAATTGACCTCTAAAATGTCACAAAAACAACTCGAAAATCACTTTTAATGTCCAAAATTGCCTCTGCTTAGTTTTTGACGGCGAAACGGAAAATAATGAAATACACCTCCAACATCGGCGAAGAAATTTAATTCTTTCACAAACGTATTAAAGGCTTTATATTTTTCATTGGTAAGAAGCAAATTACAGTATGTGCCATCAAAATGGTCGCCAGTACATGCACAGTATTACCTCGCGGCAGAAAAAGTGCCAAGAAAGTAAGGGGACCGTGAGGACCGTTTTTAATAGTAACATAAAATACTGCAAATTGTGAATAACGACTACAATTTGCTACCTATATCGCAATAAATTCAAAAATAAAACACATGAACAACCCCCACCTCGCTAAACAAACTCCTAGAAGTTTTTTTTTTGCTATTATCCAAAAATTTCTGAAGTTTTGTTTCCTGAAAATCTTAATTACTGTTGTAAACAAGGAAAAATGAGTACTAAAAAAATACAGAAGAAATAATGTGGATTTTGTTCATCGCAATCCTTTTTTTAGGTAAATATTTCAAGCAAGACCGCAACATTTTGTAATATATTTTGAATGTGGAAATGCTCAGAAGTAATAAGTTTTTCCCCAAAGTAAAAGTGAAAACGAACTTTTTTAGGAAAAATTTGTAGCTATTTCTGTTTCAGCACTACTGTACATATTATTAATCTAAATAGATTTTTAAAATTTATAACTTGAAAAAAATTATAGAAAAACACAGGTTTTCAATGTAACGTAAAAATCCACTTACAAAACATTGAACTTTGAAAATATCCAGAATAAACCAGTAACCACCTATTCATAAAATGTGCTTCAAGTATAATAAAATAGCTAATAAAAACTGTGATCTTTTAAACAATTTGTTTGAACCACCTTGACTTATGTGTAATAATTTAGATGCCATTTTTGCTAGAAAACAATAATATTATATAATTTCCGCATGAATATCATTTATGTAACGCATGCCTGCCTCGGACGTATCAATTACTTCTTTATTGGACATTGGATAATCAAATAAATAAATATATAAATAATGTTTAGCAAAAGTCGTTTGGTTGTCCAAACTCGACACCGCCATTAATACGCATACGTACAGCACACTCTTGCGATCGACGGGAAAGAAAAACGGGTCTCGGGCGCATTGCAACCGGGAAAACGATAGGAAAATCAAGGTCGACAAAGTACCGGCCCGACCGCTTACCTCATGTTGATCAAATATTGGGCCAACGCGACGGCGTCCGGGTTCCCCGATATGGTGATGGTTCTGTCCGAGGAACCGCTCTCGCGGTCGTCACAGTTCGAAATCCGTATCATGGCGCCGGAAATCTGCCGAATTTCGGCGATCTTCGTGCCCCCTTTACCGATGATACACCCGATCAATTCGTTCGGCACCGTCATCTCGTGCGTCTGCTGGTTCGAATTGTGTTGGTTGCGAGAATTCGCGCTTCTGAGCTGAGAACCGGCCAGTGCCGCCAGAGCTGAGAAATCGACTGAACGTCATTTGGAAAATTAAGCTTTGCTGCCATTTTGGTCGTTTCTGTTTATACGCATCGCAATTCAAAGGTTAATTTTCTCTTGAATCGTTTATTGTTGAATGTAAACAAAATGAAAACATTTTTATCGAAAATTATGCTTTAGGCATGCACAGAGTGTGTTTTATACTCAATGTTTGTCATGTTCTGTGGGAAGTTAATGAACACTATCATTTCTGGGCATATTGTTATTTAATTCACGTGTTCATTTTACATATTAAAGGAAACATAGAATTTAATATCAAACGCAACAATTACAGTTTATTACAAAAGAAAAATTGAAACAAATTCATAAACATTAAATAAAACATAGTCAAGGTGGGAGTTGATCTCTATGCTGCCTAGGGTTGTGGAATTAACCTGTTCAAATGTTTTTGCGTCAGTTGACCAGTTAACAAATTCAAGTGTTTTGCTTCGTCTTGAATCAAATTCTAAACACTTAATTTACCAAACTCTAAGAAGACAAAACAATGACATCTTAGAATGTTTTAAAACAAAACTAATTGAAACGGATTTCAACATTTCAATCGGTTCACACCACAGCTCAAGCTTTACACCCTCTGATCTACCATCCAGCTATTTCAATTGCCAATTGTCAATGGCCATTTTAAGAATTATCGCAAAATTAAGATTGAGTAATATTTTTCTGAAAAACCTGATCAGATCTGCTCCATATGAGACACTAATAAATAAGAATAACTTTCTTACAGCTTTGTTTGGGTCAAAACGTTTTGCTTATCTTATTATAACTACATTAAAGACCCGCGCCTTTCTAGGAAACGAGTAGAAATAAAACTATAATTTGTATCTGTGTATTTAAAATCACATGTTGACAATAGATCCCTATTAGTTTACTACTTTCTTTTTTTTAGGCTTATATAATGCCTGATGCGTCTCATTGTGGAATTGTAATTTCTGATAAATAACAAATAATAGCAGTTTTCTATTTATCTATTTATATTGTGCCTTACACCACCATTGCATCGTTCTAAGAACTAAATAGAGGCGATATTTTTATTGGGATTCCCCGAATCGGTAAGTGTCGTATTCAGACATTCCTTGAAGAGCGTTATAGGTAAATTGGACATCATAAACTCATAATAATACATATACGCATACAATACATATAATTAATAAATAATGACAGATAAGACTCTAAAATTGCAGCATTTTGATCGAATTTGACTGGTCAAATAAGAAGTGGTCAATTAACGGCCTACCCCTTTGTTCAAGGTCTTATTTAATTAATTTTGCACTAATCTTGCAGAATAAGATATGAAATTATAAAACTTCTCTTGTAATCTGGCAAAACTTATTCCTTTCATATTAAATACCTCATAGTATGGACAGCAATTAACACAAAATATAACCAAATTTGAGTACATAATTGCTTATTTAACGCTCTGTATACGCCTAAAACTTAAATTTTAATAAAACTGTTTTTCGTTAGGTCTTAAGAAAGAAAAAGGAAAGAAAAATATGTATATCCGAATTGAATCAGCAGTTTGCGAGAAAATTTACTTTGAAATTGAGCAAAAAAAAATGCTAATAAAGTTTTAGCTTTTTATAAGCAAAAAATGAGCAAGGAACTATTTAATAATTTAAATAAAAAAATAGCCGACACCTTTAAAGTATTAGTAGTTTATGTATATTTAGCAGTCGGAATACCTAAGAGTTTGGGAGAGGCCAAGTTTAATTTATTCTGAACCATACATATATAAAACGAATTTAGAAATAAACGATTAAACTCATTAAACCCATTTAAATCAGTTCGCAAAAAATGAGGTCAAAAATACACTTGACCACCCACAAAAGTTTTAAAACGTTATGTGTTAAAATTCAGTCAAGGGACGAGTGAGGTGAGACGTGTTGTTTAATTATGAATTGTTGCTATGGTAACCACATAGGGTGGGAGGAAATAAATCCAGAGAGGGCCAACGAATCATTAGCGTGTGAGATTAGAATAATAAATAATTAAATTATAAATAGGTAAATTAAACACAATTGATACACTTTTAGAGATAACGCAAACCATATCTGATGGATGTGATTCTTCTTTCGAAATACACAATATATGTAGATAGATAATACAAAACACAAATATACAAAACAAGAAAAAGTACACCCGCCTATGAAATCAAAACCCCAAAAACCCCTTTTGAGTTTAGTCAAAGCTGACGTTGTGAAATCGAGGTTGAAAACTCCCCTACATTGGAGCAAGCGGTTTTTCGTTTTAAAAGTTCTGAAATAAAACCACATGACTATCGTTAAAAAAAGAACTTTTTGTAATTTGAGTAATATTTAACAAAGAAATATTAGCAAGACATTTTATTAACATATATTGAGTTAAATTTCTAATTTAACTATACTTTTGAATACATAAAAATATTATTCTGTGGTATGCTGAATGAATAGGTAAAAAAATCGGGCCACGTTCAGCACTGCCAACATTGTCTCAGTCCGTCAAGGCATAAAGGTCATCTTATTCGGTTAGAGCATTATTGTAACTGCGACAGAGTAACACCCAAGCTCTTGGAATGTAAGAGTGACTAGAAATATACTCTGTTGCCACGAGATGAAATAAAAACCTGTTTGGCTCCCCCTCCCCACACCCGTGTGGGGGGAAAGAAAAAACGTCTCGTATAATTAATAATATTCAAAAGCATGATTGTTTACTTTATTGTAAAAAATACTTACAATCTACTGACCAGCAATTTGTTCCTGAGCGTCAATTAAATGAACAAGGGGAATGGCGAGAGTTGGAAGTAAATATTTTAAAGAGAAATGATTACAAGTGACCACGTAGGAAATTTTGCCAGCAGATAATGAGAAACGTATGGTATTCTGTAAAGAAACGTTTGAACGAGCTAACCAAAATAAACATTTTTTACCGAATAATTTATTAACCGATGAATCTTCATTTTCGTTACATGGATGTCATAATTTGGCAGTGGCTGTTGGGTATTCAAAAGAGAACTAACTAAAGTCTAGGCTCGTATTTTAAGAAACCATACCATTAGTCTTCTTTTTATACCAAACATTTATATCTTTTGCCTGCTCGAATAATTCCAGCTGTTCGGGCTCTTAATGAAATTTTGTACCAATAAGATGGTTGCCCCTCACAAAATGCTAGGAGAGTTCAGGATTTTCTGAATGCAACTTTTCCTAATCGCATAATAAGTGGAAAGATCTAGCACCAAATGATTTTTTTCTTTGGGATTACATTACTAGTACTATTTACAGGTACACACAGGTTCATGCAAATAATTTAGAGGAACTTCGTAATAAAATTATCGATGGTATTAGCAATGTTACCGCTAAAACACTGGCCAAAGTTCGACAAGAATTTTATGATAGGTTGGGACATTCCTCAGCTAAAAATGGTGGACTTTTGTTTGAGGAGACAACATATTTGCATCTCACTTCGATGCTTTTAAAAAATTCGTTTTACTTTGTCACACTAACAATATCCCTATAACCCAATATTTTTCGTGACCTGTATATACATCTACGGTGTTGACAGTGTGAACAGCCGTTGGATTAGCATCGCGATTCGAAACGTCTTACCTGCGGGATTGAGACCTCCCGTGTTCGCGGGAGCCAATCCGCCTAAACCTAAAGCGGCCAGACCTGCTAGAGGATTTTTCGTTAACGCCGCTACCTGCAACAAACAGAGCACGGAAAACTGTCAATTGGGCGGATCGACATCTGCAAAATATTCACTTCCGCTTCGGGTCACTTACTTTGTACGGTTCCCACGGCAAATCAAATAACGGCGTGAAAAATGTTTTTTCCCGTTGACACTGACATCAACTAAGTTATCCAATTATTCAAGCAAGCAAGAAATATTAACCGCGGACAATTCCAATACAAAACAATAACATTTATTGTCGTAAATCATCAAACTAACCAAACCAAACCCAAATTAACCCTGATTAAAATCATATAAACGCATTTCCCATCGGCTAGATTGAAAATTAATCGTTTGGTGGCCAGTCTTTTCAATATAGTCCATGCATCGAAACGTAACCGTCAAATACGACGAAGTCCCCAAATAATTATCGAAAAAGTGTACCCAATACGAAATACTGTCAGCAAAAAGCAACCAGAAAATTACCAACATTTAAAATACCTCACGAATTTCAATCGGTAACTTACATTATACAACATGCATACACAATCATCTTACACCGTATCTAGTTACCATGCTAACCTTGTTCTGTATCATACAGTCAACCACGAATGCACAAACAAATAAAATTTCTAGTCATCCTCGGTGCTTGATATAGATCAATCCATATCCATTTTGAATTAAAAAAATAAATATTTAACAAAAGTTTTAGCCACCATAATATCCATAGCAGACCTAGCAAACTGTTGTGGAGCCAACACATATGTAGATCACATTATAAAAACACATAACCACAAACTCATCGACCACAAGCTAGAAATGTGAAGGGCTAAAGGGATGTGTCCCTGCTTTCCAATAAAAAAACTTTCTATAGCCAAAAGAGTAGGAAGACAACTGGTTCACTGTTCTTAATGTATGTTAGCTGCAAGTTTGTAGCAGGGCCGACTTTCAAGATTACAGTGGTAACTGTCATAGAAGCAGACTCAGATGATAATTATTTTTTAGGCGAAAATAAAAATAACAAAAAAAAAAACAAACAAAAACAGTCCCATATTGAGCCCGGCAAATGGGCTTAGCCAATCCTGGACCGTTGTCGAGAACGAAGAAATTAAAGCAAATAAATAATAGGGGTACTTCGATACTTACCAATCCCCCACCCCCCCGTTATGCATTCCATCAGCGCAAGCAACTAATTCTAACAGACTAAGCAATCGGAGACTACCTACAACGAAAATTCTAACGACCATTCGTGCTAATAAGGGAGCACAGAAACCCTTGGTGCGTTCTTAAAAATGCCTGGGAGTCTTACGTAAGGTTCAATCCAGAATGTCCACAAGAGGCCTAGGGGGGATAAACTAAAGGACTGTTTCAGTATAAAGCGACGAACCGACATCGACATTTCACCTTGTAGCCTAACTCAGTGAGCCAAGCATCTCAAGTCCAAGCGTGATAGTAAAAGTGCAAAATATTGATAACTTTTTCTGAAGTTTTAATATTTCCAAAAAAAAAAAATATATATATATATATATATATATATATATATATATATATATATATATATATATATATATATATATATATATATATATATATATATATATATATATATATATATATATATATATATATTATTTTGGGTTCTGTAAACAAACACCGTGTAATTGTAATTACTTTGTGGCTTTTTTGATATGCGGTTTTCTTATCAGATTTTTTTTATTATTTTTTTTTTAATTTGGTGGTTAATTTTTAAGGGCGGGACAAATAGGTTAGTCCATAGTTGCCCAACTCAACAGTGTGTCAATGTGCGTCAATAAAACTAATTCTAACAGACTAAGCAATCGGAGACTACCTACAACGAAAATTCTAACGACCATTCGTGCTAATAAGGGAGCACAGAAACCCTTGGTGCGTTCTTAAAAATGCCTGGGAGTCTTACGTAAGGTTCAATCCAGAATGTCCACAAGAGGCCTAGGGGGGATAAACTAAAGGACTGTTTCAGTATAAAGCGACGAACCGACATCGACATTTCACCTTGTAGCCTAACTCAGTGAGCCAAGCATCTCAAGTCCAAGCGTGATAGTAAAAGTGCAAAATATTGATAACTTTTTCTGAAGTTTTAATATTTCCAAAAAATATATATATATATATATATATATATATATATATATATATATATATATATATATATATATATATATACATATATATATATATATATATATATATATATATATATATATATATATATATATATATATATATATATTATTTTGGGTTCTGTAAACAAACACCGTGTAATTGTAATTACTTTGTGGCTTTTTTGATATGCGGTTTTCTTATCAGATTTTTTTTATTATTTTTTTTTTAATTTGGTGGTTAATTTTTAAGGGCGGGACAAATAGGTTAGTCCATAGTTGCCCAACTCAACAGTGTGTCAATGTGCGTCAATAAAAGTGAATAAAATTTATCCATTACTGAATGAACTTAACATGGTGGCGCCAAACCAAAGAAAAATTAAATATAAATACGGTACTACTGAAACAGTCCATAGCCACACGATAATATAGCTCATCGGCAGAACACTGGTACGTCCGGGGAGAAAGGAAATTAGACTGGGGCACCAATACGATCAACTTACATCTGGCAACAGATGCGCGGGCGGTAGTGCAGCCTGCATATGTCCATTCTTGATTGGCTCGAAAGGCATGAGGGGGGCAGCAGCGGCCGCTTGGGGCGCCAAGGCCAACGGGTGGCCGCCGAGTGACAAGTGGGGATGGGGGGCAAGAAGGGGGGTCATTACTGAGCTACTTACGTCTGTGTGGGCGGGAACGGCGTAGTTGCCTTGGATGGTATAGGCCTGTCCGCCGGCCAGGATCACGGGGCCACCCACTTGGGGTTTGGGTCGGTAGGGGATGGTTGCTCCTTTGGGAGGGGACTGCAAAATAAAAAACACTGTAATATGACGCAACATTGAACTAGGCTGATTTAAAAATGCAACAACCTTTTTATGCCAGCAAAGTTAAATATCACTTCTTTTTCTTAGCTCAACATTTTTAGCTTTTTTTTTGCAAAATTCTTGCTTCATGCTGAAAACACAATAACACTAACATTGGTCGCATTCAACGGACGCAGTAAAGTGCTCCTGATAGGTAGCAATAGAGAAAGTGTAAGCTTACAAAACCGTACCGGTGACACATGAGCGACAAACCCCACGCACGCGGGCGCCACTTTTTGAGGCGGGTTTATTTTGTACTAGGTAGCGGTAGACAAGCGATCTATAATGGCAGAATCAGGTTTTGAAAGTGGTGAATTGGATCACGGTGTATTTGACAATGGCGGTGAGTATGAATCTCCAGCATAATAAATATATTTTATTTGTTATTATTCATATTATTATTAGTATTTACAGAAAACATTTTTTTCAACGGGAAAGTTTTCTCGAAAATCCCTTGAGTATTCGAAGATCATATCAAGGTATGTCTTTTATAAAACGAACGGTAATGTTTTTTAAACGCAAATTACACTCACATGAAATAGATATACAATTTTTTAAGTTATTTGCAGAATGTATTTTTACTAAATATTATTTTTCTAAGGCCCCCGACCGAAAGTTTTATCTAAAACCCCCCTACTTCTCTGGTAGAGAAAATATCTATCTGTTATTTGGAGACAATTTTTTAAACATTTTTTTTTTCAGAATATCTGAGGGAACCTTTAAAAGAAAACCAAAACTAGCATCTAGGTATGATCTTTTTTTAAAATGGCTCCTTTCTTACTGGGACAAAGCGACTACACTATTATTAGTGGAGCGTTATATGCATGTTAAGGATTCATTTAGAGATCCTAAAATTAAAAGAAAAAACTACGGATAGAAATTAAAAACATTTTTCAGTCAAAGGGTTATTGTGGAACTGACGAAAAACCTGAAAAAACCTACACAGGTATCAAAGACGATATACGGAAAAGTGGAAGAGGCAGAATTTGCTGGGAATATTATCACCAGTTTGATGAAATATATAGGGAGGACAAAACAATTAACCTCCCTAAACTAATAACGTCGGCAGCAGTTCCTGTTATAAGAAAAAAAGAACCCCTTAAAAAAAATCCAGCCTGTATGTTAAGTTTCAACAATTTTTTTATTGGCATAATTAAAAACATTAAAGTCTTGTAGCATGTTTTTATTTTAGAAGTTCCAAGACTAGGGAGTCAAAGAGTGGAATGTTATATCTACGAAGAAGGCTGTCAAAAATCGAGGAAGATCGAGTACAAGAAATGAAACTCTTACGAAATGCCATTGAACCACTTCCAGGTGTGGTAGCTCCTCTTCTCGCTGCTCCGGAACGTGCTAGATGTTGTAATTAATTCTAAAATGGATCTCTTATAATAAGTTTACAAATGTAGGCCTCGTCATAAGAAAATGTTCTAAGAGTAAGTTCCCTTGATAACTCCTTATAGTCTTTTCATAATACTTCTGATTTTTGGGTATTGGACACCTACCACCTTTATTATCCTCAAATATTCGAATTGGTTCTGCTAATTCCAAAGCCATCACACTTATATTTATATTATCCTGCGTCATTTGGTTTTGAATTAAAATGTTCACTTCTACAAATTTATGATGTAGGTAGCAGGTACTAAAGACCAAAGACGTTTCCACTTTATTAACACTTGTTACACCAGCAGCACTACACACAAACCTAAAAATCTCAAAATCAACAACACCCAAACAAAAATAAGAAACTATAACCTCTAAATATGTCAAAAATGGAAACGGCAAATGACTTGACAGCGAAGTTGGAACACGTTCCCCATCACAATCGCTAACGCTACTTATCACAAGCATTTTGTTACCTCCGCTGAATGCGACCATTAATGTTTTATAATTTCCAAGTTTACGAAAGTCTACATCCAATTTTTGTCAAAAATTTTCAAACCAAAGCAGAAGTTTTAGTCGCGGCATTTTTAATCCAAGATGGCTTTCTTTTAAAGGTTTTACTTACCGCGAGCATAACATTGCAAATGTGATAAATGCACTGCGTGATGGCCTCTCCCGTTCCCGAGATCGTGACCGCCCTCTCCGTGGAATTGGGCAACATCTCAGAAGCGACCTGGATCGACGCTCCCGTCACTTCGCGTATCTCTTTGATCTTCGAACCGCCCTTGCCGATCAACGAACCGCACTGGCTCGCCGGCACTATAAGCCTGAGCGTTATAGGCGGTCGCGGCACACCACTACCTGTAGTGTTGACATCCTGGAACTGGGAACACCACTGTGGTCGCCCGATGAAAAGGGAACACAAATGGGGAATTAACAAAAAAAAATGCACCGGGACTATCTACTACGGATAATAACTAGAGCTAAGTAAATTTAATCGACGCATTTTATAGAATAGCGGAAATATTGACACTCTTGTCAATTTCTCAAAGAAACAGGGTATTTACAAAACATCTGGATGCCACTTGCGAACTTGCTAACGTTTCGCCAATGATCTTGTTGGCTTATGGGGGGAATCCACAAGTTTGGTAAATAGTGCGATACTCTTGTCAATGAAGGGGCTAACCTCTACTACAGATCATCTATTCGCAAAACAGTTAAGTACATATGCCTTAATTTAATTTTTGACGACAAAATATTGACTGTAAAATGAGCCCAAGTCCAAGTGAAAATGAGTAATTCGAATGGATAAATTCTGATGCTTGCGCTAGTGGAAAGCAACAGATATGTACGCATTTAATTTCCAATCGACTGATTTCTTTTGTACTTTGCTCACAATAAATGCTTGCTGATTCTATGAAGCCATTTGAAATTGGCACAATGTTTTAAATTGAAGCACAGATGACCGAAATGTAGTCAACATGCACCGCTTGTTGCAATAACTATCAAAATTACAAATGGATTACATATACAACCTTTACGTGGTATCTCACTATATTATAATAACATACGAGCCCTAACAACTAAATGTTCGGACGATGTAAAAAATTATAAAAAAGACATTTTTATATCTATTTCATTTTTTTTTTGCTTTGTCGATTGAATATTCAATTTACGCACTTATTTTTTATTTCGCATGAATTACATAGCAAAATAACGGAAACGTACCAAATTTTCTGACAAATAAATCTTCGGACGCGAATGTTTATTGACCAAAAAATCAATGCTACCCATGCATTGATGGTAAAATGTAGTGTGCTTAGATAAATGAGATGTCAGTTCGGGTTGTATCTTTCAAGTTTGTATAATAGTTGATAAGAAAATGACGCGTGGTGTTGCAACAAACAAAAAAGTGCAAGAAATTATCATATCTCAGTACTGCAAAGGTAAATCAATGCAAAAAAATTCAAATGACTTGAGTATTGCAAAATCAACAGTCGGGGGTATTATAAAAAAGTATGGAGAGAAAGCTAGTGTTAGCGTTCGTGGTAAAAGTTCAGGGTGATCCCGTAAAATCACTGAAAGAGATCGTCGTAATTCAAGCCGAATGGAATCACGAGGCAAACTTAAATGTCTCCAGGGAATGTTGTAGACAATGCATGCATAAGTCTGGTTTGAGTTTTTATAAGGTAAGTTTACAATTTTTTCTGTTTCAATATAAAAATTATTAATATTCTTTGATCTACTTTTGTTAAAGGCAAAGAAAAGACCATTATTAACGTCTATTCAGAAGAAAAAACGTTTGGATTGGGCAAAATCTAAAATATCCTGGACAACGGAAATCAAAATTTGATGTGTGTGTAGGCGATTTTCGAAAAAGGGTGATTGGTACACAAAGATTGTCTAAAGCGCACTGTAAAATTTCCCCAGGGTGTTATGATATGGGGGTGTATGAGTGGTAAAGGGGGCAACTACGAGTTCGTTGATGGTACTGTAAATGCAGAAAAATACCAACAAATTTTGTGAAGAAGTTTGATTCCATCAATTGAACGAAATCTTGGAAATGAAAATTTTATATTTCAACAAGACGGTGCGTCCTGCCATACTGCGAAAATAGCAGTGGTTTGGGGACCATGATATGAAAGTTTTATCGTGGCCATCAAGTAGCCCCAACTTGAATATTATTGAAACTTTATGGCATCATGGCAGCGTACAGTTCCAGCATTAAAGGCAAAAATCACCGAAATTTGGAACACTTTCTCCTCCGAATATTGCAAGACTTTGGTAGATTCCATGCCACAACGCATAAACTGTATATTGCCGCCAAAGGTGATGTTAGTTCTTATTAATGTTCGGTTTAAAGTAAAAGATTTAAATGCGTCCGAATATTTATTTGTCAGCAAATTCGGCATGTTTTTGATATTGTGTTATGTAATTTATGTGAAATAAAAAAATAATTCATTACGATAGCACTTTTTGGTATAAAAATAAGTGCGTGATTTCATTTTCAGTCAAAAAAGCAAAAAAAAATCAATTTAAAATAAGTATAAATATGTTTTCTTATTTCGTACATCGTCCGAACAATTAGTTGTTAGGGGTCGTATTATCAGTTCTTTATTTTGCATAACAGTTTTTCTACCAAAACTATGCCAAAAAATACAAAATTTAATAATAAACGTGCAATGACTACTTTATAGGAATCTGTGTCTTAGCCTGGATAAATATAATCAGAATATTGTTAAGTCCTTACCTCTTCGAACTTTTTACAAATAAGTGTAAAAGCTTTAAAAATTGCACTTGTTGATCCTGTAACGGTTACAATTCTCTCCGGGCACGAACCATCCGAAATGTTTATTTTGGCTCCCGACTGAAATATTTTAGAATAGAACAATTAGAACGGTAAAACTTCGACTGTCGATAAGCGCCACTTACTTCCTCCCTAAATCTGTTTACGATTTCCCCTTTCTTGCCTATTATACTGCCAACTTCCTGAAACGGACAAAGAAAATAAATTATTCTCGACGACCGAGTGGCACGTTTTATCTGGATACATATTAATATTAAACTCTATACTTCTTTGGAAGAATGAAAACATTCATTAAAAAAAAAACATCTTATTCCAGCTGGGAGTAACGAGCAATGAAAATTATTAATGAGCTTTTCCAACGCAATCGTCGAATAAAAAAAAATACAATCCGAACCCGCAGTTACTAATTGGACATCTTATTTCGTTTGTTCAACTCCGACCAATAGGTCAAGGACATACATGCGTAGCCTGTTGGGGGCGTATATCGATTTGCTTCGACATACTTAAAAACCTAAAATTGACGTTTGCCAGTAGGCGTTTTTAGCGCCCAACGACAACTCTAAACGCCACGTGCAACCCTAATGGGATTTCAAATACAACGGAAGCCATTTTTTTACATCACTCCGGGGGATTATGTCCATTTCATATTTCCGTTAAAAGAATTATTTTTTCCAGACTCGCCGGCAAGGCCAGACAGATTGTAGGCCGACACATACACATACAAAACAAAAAAGAAAATCACTGATGGATATGATTTTGACTTGACCCAAACAAACCAGGTTCAACTACCTGCGAGTAGGCAACTGCGTCTGGTAAAAACCATTGTACAAGAACAGGTTTTAATCTCATACTATAATATTTATCCCACTTACACACTTTGCTTAATTATTGCCCGTATAAATACGGTATAAGGCGGCCTAGTGAAACACTGGCGTGTTTTCTAGACTTTCGGATGTATTTTCCAAAGTGATCAGATATGCTACTCATTTTTATAATTTACGCAGATGAAATCGCATTTTCGAAGAAACACAAACTTTTCTAGGTTCAACAAACATTGTTTTGGACAAATACCAAGTTATAATCACACGCAAATTGGAAAAAATAAATATATATATAGTTATAAATGAATTACTTTATGTTCAAAGATTCAGTTAAGCGTTATTTAGATCCGCTTATTTTGCGGCAAGTATTTTTGTATTTAACATATTTGGAATTTTGAAATGGTCATTAAAAACTGCCGAATTTTTTCAAGAAATGCCCAAAAATGAAACAATCAAAACCACCCAACTTATTAATATACTTGTTTTGTCAAAACATCCGGATCACCTTGTAATTGAAAAAACAAGCAATTTATATTCATTCATTCGACAATTTTACTTAATTCGACAACAAAATAATTTTCGAAAAAATATATTCTGGTACCAAGCGACGGGATTAATCGAACAGCTTCGAAATTGTAATTATAATTTTAGCAACTCATTAGTAAAAGTGTGTCCGACGGTTGCATATTTTTCCGGTACATCACAAATAACTTGGCAACGTACTTGTCGATTGACCCAGACGGTGTTTGTTTCAATTTTTAGCCGCGTGTATCAATCTATAATTACATTAATTGGCAAACACCAAAAGGAAAATCGTACGTCTGTAATTTTCTTTTTCTCATTACCAATTGACAATAAAAGTTTTATCAGAGCGAGTGTAGCCTTTACGTTTTTTTTTTCTTATTTCCGACGTCAACTTCCTTTTCAATTTTAATTGTTTGATGTTTTTTTAATCACTTACAATTTTGTGCAGGCGATATATCATTTCATTCATTTTAACATAACATAACATGTTTGCTCGTTTATTTCAGGATACAATGCCATAAAATCTTAATGGAATTTCATAATTATTTAACACTGCTGCTGATAGCAGTTTTTCCGAACATACAGACAGAAGTTAAAGAAATACTAAGTTGATGCTAATGACATGGTTTACGCTAAGAACAACCAAAACGAATATTTCTGGATATACATATTATCCATATTTTTGGACCCACTGTATATAAACAAACTTTCGCAACAAATTATACAATTAAACAACAAATAAGCGAAAGAACCAACTACAGCAAAAACTGTTGCCAATAGCTGAAGACCATAAACCCATGACAATTGTTTGAAGGTTGCAAGGAAGGAGAATACCGCAAATTTTGTTGACACATCAATATGCGTCTAAGAATAGAATGTAATGAGAAAATTTTGCGTTGACTACAAAAGCGTGCACAAAATCACAAACCTGATCCTGCGAATCAAATTAGCATACATAATAAGATGCAATTTTGCAATTTTAATTAAATATTAAGCATCAGTTAAAGTAGAATCACATAATTTACGACAATTAATAAGTAACGATCGATGTAAAAAAAGAACCACAATTTTATAATTCAGAAAACTAATACAGCACAAGGTGTTCACGATAAAACTAACATCAAATCTCCTAAAGAAAGTATATTACCAAGTAGAAAAAAAAACAAGATACACATCTGAGAGGGTGAAAAGCAAAGTTATTATCCATACTCAAAATCATCTCAGAAAAATGATGATCTTGCTTACACTACTTTAATTTTCCCAATTTCCTATGCATAATGCGTTTATAAGTACCGGGTATCCAATTAAGGATCAGGAGAGACCTGGAAATTATTTTTAAATTTTTAGAATGAACGCCAAAGGGCGTAGTCGCCTTCATGAATTATAAATGCCGTTTTCTGAGAACTAATCTTATAACGGCTACCTAAAATTAACACCGTTTTAAAGTTGAAAGCAAAGTAAGTATCCGATCATTTTCGAAAATAAATGTCAATAACTTCAGAATAACTGAACGCATGTTGTCAAAGTTTGAAAGGGGCCCTCACATCACTACAAATAAAATTTATTTTCTCAAAAAATTTGAATGCAACAATGTCGACTCTATTGCAACAAAACAACAAATAAGAGACTGATCGATAATCTCAGTAAAATAAATAAAAACAAAATTATTTCGCTATCTTTGGGAATATTTTTAGGATACTTATCATTCTTAGAAAATAATTATATAATAATAATACATTAGATATAGATATAAATTTAGTGTTAAAATGCCAACATCACATGAAGAACATAATGATGAAGAAAAGATAACACTCTTTCTTTTTGACCTATTCTCTGCACTTCTATAAGGCCACTAACATACACTATAAATAGCTGCAATATTAATATGCTTGACACTTAAACAACAGCATTATGATTTTTATCTACTTTTTGCTGCAATAAAAGTGATATCCTTGCATTTTTTTTTAAGAACATGAATTTTATTTACAGTGATGTCGCAAAACACTCTTTGGCTGAGATAAAAGCAATCTAAATTAATCTGTTCAAAGCAGCGCTGAAAGCAGCAGAACAACCCTTTTCAGAAAGTCAGTCATTTGACAAAATGCGTTAAGCCGTATTGATGTTATCGACATTTATATCCAAAAATGTTCTAACACCAACCATCACTTTAACTTAAAAGGTAGAGCAGAAACCGTTTAATGAATAATAATCGAAAAGAATTTATTCTAGTTTTACAATGGTGTCTTCCATTTTATCTATCTGTAATATATTATTTCTTTAAAAAACGGAATTTAAAATTCGGGAATGCGATTACGCCCCCTGGCGGCACTTATTGCAACTTGTCCGCTTTATGTTTTTTCGTCTAAAGTTTTGCGGCAATTGCTTATCAAGATAGGACACCTGGTACGATTTTTAACTCACAAACTAATAAATTTGCAGTTTCAAAATCTCTAAGACATTTTATAATTTCAACCAAATTTCTTTCCATATCGGTTTTAAAATCAAGCTTTTATATAGTACTTAAACTATTTTAAGATAAAAAGGTGCAATAAAAACTAATTAAAGCAAATAATACATGAATATTCAAACATTTATATAAGTGTTCACATACCTTCCCCTGCATAATCAGTCTAATAGTAAGTGTAACATTCGGCTCATCATTCATAATTTGTTTGGCATCCATGGTTCCTTGGCAGGGGATTCAGGGTGGTTGGGGAGAAGCGGTGGGTTTATTTCTGAAAACAAGAAAGGAAGTACTATTACAACTGACTCTAATGTCATACTAAACTAAGTTCAATGTTGCTGGACAAGCGAGGAGTTACATGTGATTCAATTAAATTAGGTTAAAAACAAAAATGCGATTTTGGAGGGGTGAAACACTTAAAGCAGAAACATGCAGTGGCCGGTATAACCTAATTTTTAACGTTTTTAAATAACGTCTTAAACACAGGAGTAATAGGTGTTTAGCTGTTCTAAAATACCCATCACGATTGATATTATTTTAGTTGGACCAACCCAAATTGGTTAGCTTCAAACATTGAAACCATAATTTTCTTCTTTCAGCTCAAATAGGCGTGCGTGTGTAAATCTAATACGATTGTCTGAAATATATCTGCAATGATATCTGAATATGGCCAATTCTATTCAACATAAAGCATTCAAAGCCGCAACAACATATATTTTAACCATAAATTCGATAAACAAATCCTAGTTATTTTACTGAGCAATGCATTATTATATCTATTTTTAGAATAATGCAGTTGTCATGACCGGCTTGGAAGCAGACCATAAAACTAAGCGAATAAATAAAACGTTTGGCATCCATTTTCCAGAGCCAAAACAGCGAAAATAAAAGGGCATCCTCGATAATTGAAACCAGAACATAACCACCAAATGGCGAAATTACCAACTACAGTTATCCGAAATATCGACGACGGTGTCTTCCGTAAATATACACTAATTTACTCCGCACTGAGAGATCACAGTTTCATTACAAGAACTTACATTAAATACACTATTCTGTATACAAAAGTAAAAAACTATGGGAAGCTTGCCGACGCTTCTCTCGTTCGTTCTCTTTCGCACGTGCTTCACGCGACAATGCTGCCAAGCCAAACCAAACGAACCCGACGCATGATCAAAGCAGGGTCGCCATACTTAGAGTTTAAAAATACCCACTTCCATGTTCGCTGGAGGGAAATAAACGCGCGCGTTTCGAATTCTGGCGAGTATTGATCGATTATAACGCGGAACACAAACTTTGCAAAGAACAAGAAAAAGTTCGGTTACAGTTAATGCGCCACAGAAGTTACCCGGAATGATGAATCGCAAAACGAGCAGCGTATACAAGAAAAATATCTTAAATGATGAAGGGCCGCGACGGACTTTTTTTATACATTGTGGATTTTATTTCCGCCCAACTTCTTTAAAAGTAAGGGAGAGATTATATATAATAAAATGTAACGCATTTGTTCTTATTTCCGACGCTCGAGGATTATGAGTTTATTGCACGACGAAATAAAAGTAAGGAAGAGGTAAAAGATCGATTTTAAATTTTATTTAACTTCAGACGCAATTTCATTTCAATATGAGAAATTGATTGCACCATCTGTTAAAATTTAATTGTGTCAACTTAAATTATATTGAGCATGCACCTACACCGTGACGTAAAAAGCAGTGCCTATGTCTAGTCCAGTGATTTCCAAAGTGAGCGATATATGCACCAGAGGGGTGGACTTAATTAATTTATTTTTACTTTACGTGTTTTTTAAAAAAATGATTACCTACTTAAGTATTTTTATGTAATTTGTATTAATAATTATTAATTACATTCCATAGGAAAAAAACTAGAGGTACGATTTTTAAAGTAATTGGACGGTCTGAGGAAAAAAACTAGAGGTACGGATTTTTAAAGTAAATGGACGGTCTGAGGCACTAGTTCAATTTTGAAAAATTTCTGATCTAGTCGAATATACGAATGTGAATATCCAAAAAATGTTTACTAAATTTTTTATTTTTGTTTCAAATAATACCAGACAAAACTATGACGGACACATGAGTAGATATTTATTTATCAGGCTATATATATCTAATCAGTTGCTGAACTTGCATTACTAAACTTCTTAGGTGGAATGAAGTTACATTAAACATTGTGATAAAACTTGAGAATGTTTAAAGGTATTGACATAACTATTATAAATATACGAGATATTACATTTATTTTGGTATATTTTCTCGATTTTCTACTTTGTATATACCGTTCATTCTCTATTTGAATTTGAAAATTGGGGCACAAGGAAACCGACTGTGCAAATATAATCAAAAATCGACACAAATCTCCTCTTGCAAACTATACGTGTTGTCCATATTTTTTAATTTGTAGCTTTCGAGTTGAAGAATGCGCAATTAAAGTTTCCGAAAAACAATAAAATTTTAATATCAGCGACCAAACAATCTTCTCTTATTCTGAATTTTTAAAGTCAGGCTAAAATTATCCCGGCGACTTTTCTTTATGACTCTTTTATGGAAAGATCTTTTCATCTCAAGTGAAAACTGAGTAGGTATATATATATATAAGCCGGCTAATAAAAGCGAAGAAAGTTCAGCCGTAAAACCAATAAGCTCGCTTTATCACATCATTGAGAATTTGCATATGGTATGAGTCGGTTGGGAAACTTTGACAAAGCAGTAGTGTTTGTTATGATATATATCAGGCGCCGTTTTCATTTTGCAGCACGGAGGAGAGGAGAAAGTTTCCTGAAAACGGCGGACACACAACGAACAAAATTTCCTTCTTTATTGCTCATTTAACTCATCGTGCCTTTGATGGGCGACGAAAAACATTCGAAAGCATAATTTTGCTAGGAATTGGTATACACTTTTTTAATTCTTAAAATAACGCCAATTGTATCTACTTCTTAATTGGAAATTAATTAATTAAGGTGCAAGGTACGTATCTCATCTAAACGGCATCAAACCTTACAAAACTAACCTCAAATTTTATTTATTTAGTACGTTGAACATTGTCAATTTTAAATTTAAAATTAATTTACTGGCACTATAAAAACGTAGTTTATAGTTTACTTTAAATTTAAACCACACGCTTTAAAAAATTAAATGAACTTTTCCATTTATACTCTGTTTATTAATTCGAGAAAGTAATAAAATGTAAATTTGCAACGATGGCGATCATTAAACAGGGTGAACAACAAAATTCCGTAATTGAATGTCATATAAAGACGAATTTGGTGAATGAAAGCAATATGACAGCGGACAGTTTAAACGTTCTCTAACGTTTCCTGAGATCCTGTCGCCATCGTTCTCAATCATTTTCTTCTTCCAAGCCTCTATCTCTAATCTCCTCATTGATTCCTGATTCCTCCTCGTCTTGTTCCTGCTGGAATCCATGTCATTATCTGTTTTGGTAATATTTACGCCCAGGTACTTGTACTTTCAGCAGTTTCTTATTCTCTCGTCCTTTTCCAAAATCAGGTCTTGTTGATTTCCTCTTACACTCATATATTATGCTTGTGCTATCACGATTTAGTCGTCCGCGAAGCGTATATACTGTGAAGTGGTTATTATATATATTTGAAAATTTTGAATGTTTCTATTTCATCAAGCCTTTTTCGAGATATATTTTAAAGAGTGTTGGCGAAAGACAGCAACCGCGTTCAAGTTCTTTATTTTGAACGAATCCTTCAGAGAAGTTTGGCAGTTTAGTATTGATGTTTAGGTTCGTTGTAACCGGAGCTTCCCGTAGCTTAACCAGTAGCACGATGTCGTAGGCTTTCTTTAGGACATTTTATGCAACAACTGTGTTATACAAATTAGATGGTCGATTGTTAATCTTACCAGTCGGAAGCTAACTGGTTCTTCCACATCGTGATCGGCATATTCACGTTCTATCTGTTGTTCAAAACTTTGCAATACCCCTATAGTTGTCGCCATTTTAATTAACACCCTTTATATATAGACTAGCTCTGTGGAAATGCCCCCTGGATCCGGTGCTTTCCTGTTTTTTAAAATAGATATGGAAATAGGTAAATTGTTATAAATTTATATTATTTCTATTCTTCTTCTTCTTCTATTTCAACCCAATCCAATGTGTTTATTCCCTCTTTATGCCTTTTTGACTTGCGACCATAGCATTTAATTGATAGCGATATGGCGATAGGCGAAATTTCGCTTTGTTTTGAATTTAAAATTTTCTGTAGCTTTTCACCACAACTTTCTGAAATTGCTTCTTATACGGCAATAAATGATGTAATTTTTTTCAAGAAGAAATGGGATTTTTTTCGCATTTTTTTAGGGTAGTGGCTGGTATTATCTATAGCCACAACAGACCGATGAGGAAGTAGGATGGAAGTAGTCTACGTGATAGTCTCCTCTCCGATTTGATTGAAATGCTAGTAGCAATCCACCATCGACATATCTATTTTTGCTTACGAATATGCGTAGTTAATCTTTTATCTTTTCAGCTATGTGCTTCAGGTTTTTTTTGTAACTAAAATTCATTGCTTTCAAAATTTTCTTTTCTTCTTACTTATGGGCGGAATAAAATCACCCTTTTTCATGCAAGTGCAAATTAGGTGCTTATTTTTTAAAGTATTATTCGATATACATTGCAATTACATTTCTACAACAAGAAATTTATTTTTACTACATTTCTTAGAAACACGCGACTCTTTAGTATATTTATATAAAGATAAGTAAGACATTTTGACCCACGTGAGAACAAATTTTTAAAGCTGTAATAAAGGCATAGGAAAACTCCATGTTACGAAGAGCCTTATACATCGGGAAACTGAATAGAGGGTGGTAAATAAATTTTTCAAAAAAATTTCCACCGGCTACTGTAATACTTCTTACAAAACTTCTGGATTCCTCTTGCGTAGGTTTGTGCTGAGTCGAATTTGCTAACGTTTCGCCAATCATCCTGTTGACTTCTTCAGAGCTTGACTGAAACAGGAAGAAGAAGCCAACAGGATGATTGTCGAAACGTTAGCAAGTTCGACTAAGCAAAAACCGACGCAGGAGGAATCCAGAAGTTTTGTAAAAAGTAGGATGTCAAATCTGATCAGGTTTAATGAAGCAAGTACAGCCTTTATAGGAGAACTTCAGAAAAAACGTTATTACTCAATCTTAATTGTGCGATAATTCTTAAAATTGAAATTGACAATTGACAATCAGATCAGAGAGTGCAAAACCTGAGTAAAAATTCGTATAGTGTTAACCGGCTTCAATGTTGAGATCTGCTTCAAAAAGTATTGTTTTAAAAATTCTTTTGCCGTCTTAGATTGATATATTATGGATTGCTCCACCACTCACCATAACCCAACTCACGAAACAGCTCTCTAATCTGACATGCCCCGTTGAATTTGGTGTGCTTTGTGTTATTGATCAAAACACAGTCTCGCACAGTCACAATTTTCGTCCAGTTTTCGTCGTAGTTTCATAAGAAAGCTGAGGCAAGATTTAAAGGTTCGGTAAATTAAGTGCGTGGAACCTGTTTCAAGGCGAAGTAAAGCACTTAAAGTTGATTTAGGAAGTAACAATATTGTTTTTAAAAAGTTGGTCTGTACTTGCTCAAGTATAACGGTATAACGTAACAGCGAAAAAAATATTTACCATGGTTATTTCGTATATTTTTGAATTGCGATCTAAGAGGAAAGCTTACTCTTTCTCAGCATCGACAATGCGGCCCCCACTGCCTGACTCGCTTTTGAAACTATTGTGTCTGCCATTTCTCTAAAAAAACCAACACGTCACACCTTTTAAACAATGAAGCATTGAATCGCCGAAGAAGAGCTTTGGCTGAGTTGTTGAAGGGGAGTTACTAAAGCATATAACTTTAGTTTTGTGAGCTTTGATTGTGAGAGAATTTCCGTTCCGTACCTGGCTAGACTAGTCAACATTTTCTGTAATCCGCTCTCTGATTCAGCTGATAAAACGACGTCGTCTGTATAGGCCAGTAAGCTGAGGCTATGAAACGCGTCAATAGAGAGGCCTTGAAGAAAAGTAGTCGTCAATATCTACAAGAAAAATATATCTAACATTTTAGTGAAGCCATCCTTCACGTTAATTTGAAATGTCGCCACTTCAT